ACGCGTGTATATACGGTATGTTTCAGAAGAATTTCTGTTTCGCCACGTTATTTTTCAGTTGTTTCTCTCCGACAATATACTTATTTACTTAACTACCTACGTACCTATCTGCACATTAATAAATTTATACAGACACACGCACGCACGCACACACAAACACGCATACACAAACACACACACACATATTGGTTCTCAACAGTTGAGGTGCAACTAAATGCACCGAAACGTAGTTGCATCTTTTTTGTGAGTAAATTGGTTTTGTCTATATGACAAAATTATAATTGATATAACCCAACTTCCCCATTCACGATAATGGACGGACTGGTTGCCGATTAAGTACGACCACAGCGGACAGTCAAAAAAAGGTCTTCGTTTGTTAACACCTATTGAGGTTAGCATACTCCCGACTCTGTCTCTGTACTTGACGACACACCTACATCCGATTATAAACCTATTATTGAAAACCAACACTCGGGTTACTTTGTTAATTATATCTTGCACGAGATATAACAATAATAAATAATTATTGCTCTACTATCGGTATTGAGCCCTCTTTTGAATTAATGCTGTGTACGTTAAAATTTATATATTATTTTCGTTCTCATTACATTCCGTTATATATATATATATATATATATATATATATATATATATATATATATAAAACATCAGTTTTATGAAAATAATTAAAAAAAAACGCAGCTGTACTCTTTACTCCACTAAGTGAATATATAGTTTGGTCAACAGCATAGCCAGGGCCAACAGTACATATGCTAATTTTATATCTCTTGTATGATGTGACCCTCTTAAAATTAGCTTCAAACTTATGTCTTTACAAATCGCATGATACGTAAGTACATACGTTATTCATCAGATTATAACCTTACGTTAGGCTATGACATATTTTACAAGTATAGCACAAGCCTCTCGGAAGAAAACCCAATAAATAATCTCCTCCTCCTTTTCATAATAATTTCTAACTTTCCCCTTCCTTACAAAAATCTTACCCAGTAGCCCCTTCCTTGAGTGGCTCGTCGACCTTGCCTCAGCTGAATTAACTGTAAAAATATCATTAAAATATAGTGTATATCTTAACACAGCATTAGATAAACAATGTGTTTAAGCCAATAAGACGAAAATATTTTAACATATTAATACTCTTTTGTGTTAATTCAGTAGGTGAGCGATTATGGTCCACCACAGTTTCCTATCCTTTGTAGCTCTTAGTAATATTTGTTATCTTAATATCACTTCTTGTCCCTCTTCTGCCAATATATTTACTGAAGCTCAGTGAATAGATGTTTCTGTCTGTGCCTTAGCTATATCCCGTGAGTGCGAAATTCTCTGAGCCCACTTTCCTCACTACGTGACCCAGATATTCAGCTCATCTCTGATTTTAAGTATATATATATATATATATATATATATATATATATATATATATATTTTTTTTCTTTTTATTCTTAAAACTTCCTCGTTGCTGGCATGTTCCTTCCATGGCATTCTTTGTAGAACCAGACCTCTGCAGCCTCAGCTTTTCATCAATGAGGAACCTGTCCGGTATTAACTGCCATATAGGAGGACCAGTATTAAAAAGCAGTTCAGCGCGCTTTTTTTTTGTTTCTAATGAATGTTCCCTTGTGACTGGAGGCATTAATGTGTTACAAGTACAAATCTACAATACCTGATTTTTATAAACCTCCCATTAATATTGGATTACGTTTTATGAACCCCTCTTTAATACTGGATCTTTTTAGATACCTGTCATTAATAACAGATCTCTTTATAAAACTCTCATTAATTCTGGCTCTCAATTTACGAACATCTCATTAATATTGGATCTCTTTATAAAAGTCATAATACTGAAATTTCTGTTTATAAACATATCATTAATGCTGGATGTTTTTTATAAATCTTTCATAATTAAAGGATCTCATTATAAACCACTCATTAATAATGGAGCTCTTTTTATGAACTCCTCATTAATACTGGATCACTTTTTATGAACCTATCATTAATACTGGATCACATTTTATGAACCTATCATTAATACTGGATCACATTTTATGAACCTCTAATTGACACTGGATATCTTTTTATAATCCTTTCATTAATATTAGATTTATTCTTATAAACCTCTCTTTAATACTGAATCTTTATAAACCTCTCTTTAACACTGGATCGCTTTTTAAATTTATAATTAACACCTAATTTTATTTTAATTTATACAAGTTTATCCCATAAAAATTTCATTTTTTTTCAATTTTAAATTTCTGAAGAATCTTAATTCTTCAGTTAATGATTGAATAAGTTCATAGCGATTTATACGACAATAAAATATCAGAAATTCACTATCACGTGGTTAAATATTGGAGCTTAACAATTTTAACAAAATCTTGCAATAACAATCATAGATTACAAATATAAATGATGGCTGTTGTTTTAAAAAGCAAGGAGATACAAATGAAAAGATTTGAAATTAGCAACTTTTTTCCATTTCACTGAAACAGACGATAAACACTTCTATCTTTCCCATGACATGAATATAGGAGTGTTTGATATCTCTTTTGTCTTCTCGCGCGATCAAAAAGGAATATTTCAATTATTTATGTTGTACAGGAAAAACTCACTTCTACGACACCCTCACCATCATCGACACCATCAAAGGACTTCGGATGCAACGGACAAAATTTGTAGGCAAATAAAAAAAAATCTACAGAAAAAAAACAAAAAACTTCCAAATCGTCAACGATGTATTTCAAAATTTGCGGGATTAGCGGAACAAGTCGTATTAGTTCTCAAAATGGCCAGTTGCCATCCATGGCTATAGAACCCGATCTGTCCTGCTATTTACCCATAGCTTGGGGGAGAAGAAGAGGATTTATACCTTTCCTAAGAGTATTAGCGCGTAAGGGAATGTAATGGATTCGACTGGAATTCGAACTCGGCTCTCCGATTCCTCAGTCCGAGCCGCTATCCTTTACTCTAATTACAGCAGTTATCTTCTTTGCAATTTAGTACTTATTGATTCGGACTTCGTGATGTCATTTGCGGCTGTGTGTCACTGGAAACTGCTTCCCGTGCTATGTGTGGCACGCGTGCTGACTTTTGCCTAACCCCTCATCTAAACTATATAATTCTTTATTTTTGGTGGATATGAACCGAATAAAAAAAATGAACAAACGTTAAATTTAGTTAATTTTTTTTTAATATCAAAAACCCAGTGCCTCTTATAAACGAGATATTATTTTATGTGTGCGCATTATACAAAAAATAATTATTTTAGTGATTGTTGGACTAAATCTACTTTCGCAGCGCAGGACGATATTTACAAACAACGGTTTCCGGGACGGAATAATGTACATCCCTCTTCCGTTGGCATCCTCAATCCAAGAATGATATGCTTTAGGATGCCTAGTGTAGTACTGGCTAATCTCAAGAGTCAATTCTCTAACGTAGAAATTCTAAGCCCCATAGAGTGCTCAGTTACGGTGACCTTGAGTTAAACTTGGGAAATTGGGACAATTGTCGAATCTCAATGTTTAGCCATCTCGTTCCACTGTCCATAAGAATTGTTTTGATGAACTTTCCTTCATGTTATCTAGACATTATGAATTTAAGCACAGTACTAAATTGGCAACGTTTTTATGGCTAAATGTAACAGCAAATCTCTCCCACTTCTCCCTAGTAGAACACTTCCGGATTTTTGCTTTCCAGTCTACTTTGATCTTCAAAAATTTAAATGCAATGGCGGTCATTATCTGCTGCTTTCTTGATTCTTCTTCTGCTGTTCTCCTTCCTTAGTAATGTTTCTCTTTTTTCTTATTCTTTCACACTCAGTAACCTCTAGTGTCTTAGTGGCCTTACTGCCTTGTGTGGAGTGATATGGTTAAAAAAAAACATATTCTTATAGTCTTCTTCATTCTTATAGTCTTCTTATTTCCTGTTCTTTTATTGTTCTCTCTCCTTAATAGTGTTCTTTTTCTTCGTCTCATATTCTCCCACCCTAATTAACCTCTTACGTTTTTCCTACTCATATTCTGCCACACTCAGAAACATTTTACGTCTTAGTGGCTTTATTGACATGCTAGTAGTAAAATGATTAAAAATGTACTAATTTCGATAACATCATATGGACGTATAACCAAAGGAATAATTCTGATTTATTGTCGAATCTCGAGGTTTAACCATTTCGTCCAACTGTCCACTTTGCTCATGTTCTGATGATCTTTCCTCTATGGCTTCTGGAAATCTCTTCTGCCTTCTTGCTTTCTGGCCAAGAACGATCTTTAAAAATTTAAATGCAATGTCATTCGTTATCTTCTATTTTCTTAATTCCTGTTCTTTTATTGTTCTCTCTTCTCAGTAGTGTTTTTTTTTATCCGTCTCATATTCTCCCACCCTAAGTAACCTCTTGCGCTTAGGGGCTTTATTATCTTGTTAGGAGTGAAATAATTTTTAAAAAAATGTAACAATTTTGATAAAATTATGTAGATATGTAACCAAAGAAATAATTCTGAGTTAACAAAAGGACGTTTAAAAAAAAAAAGAAAGAAACGCTGAAATATTGGCATTGTTGCCCAGTATATATAACCATGCCATATTAGTCTTAGTAAATACTGATAAAAGCGTTCATATCTCGTGGACCATTTTTAGTAAGTTCGGTTCATCTGCGCGGCTCGATTAAGCGCCATTTTAAAAATACTTCTTCGTATTGTGAAATTATTTGAATTTCTTATCCGAAGTATTAAATATTTCTTTCCCATGACCTTAATTTCAGTTGCTTATTATCGTAATTATCAGATATGATCACCGAAGTTAAGCAACGTCGAGCCTGGTCAGTGCCTAGATAGGAGACCGCTCAGAAACAGCGGTAGGCCTGGATGTGCGGGTGGTGTAATGGATAAATTTTTGCAACAAAAATGTAATATTCTGTCAATTTTTTTTTCTGTATTTTCTCTTGATTTTCTATGGGAGAACGGTTGTTTGAGCCTAAAGGCTTACAGCCACATCAGCTTGAAATACCAGTTCCCGCACGTTCACTGAAGTTGAGCAACGTCGAGTCTGGTCAGTACCGAGATGGGTGACCGCTTGGGAATACCAGGTGATTGTAAGCTTGGATGTGTGGGTGGTGTAATGGACAATGGCTTGGAATTGTTAATCGGAGGGCCGAGATCCAATTCTAGCTACGGATTAATTAGTAAAACTTGTATAAAAAAAAATCTTTATCTCCACAAAAGATTCTTACAATCTAAAATATTTTCTGGCTTTAAATAACCTGCAAAGGGTTGATAAACCGTAAAAAAAGACGAATTAATCAAAAGCAACTACCAGATAACAATTACATCGTTCGAAAGCTGTGTAAACAGAAAACAAATTCTTCGAGTATCGTTGGTTATCATGGCTCTCCACAATTTCCTTTTGATTATTTTTAGGTTTATAAACTAGGCAATATTTTGAATGTTTTTGGTAAAGTCAGTGGAATAGTTTCCCCGTACTTTTTCCATTGGTTTGAATTCAGATTCACCCCAAGCAAGGCGATAATGCCTCTAAGACGCAAGGGTAGGGGGTGCTGCTGGAAATGAAAAATCATGATAATGCTTTATAAGGGACCTGGAAACCCAATCTTAATCACGCAATAAGGGATAAATTTCTACTAATGTTTAAAAAAAAAAACGGAGAGGAGTATGAAGATAATAAATTCGCTGATATATAATCCAAGTGAATCGTAGTAATATAAAATAGTAAAACTGTTGTAACCTAGAAAGGGTTAGTGAATGAGGATTAACCAAAACCGAGGTTGGAAATGAAACGGTAATCTTTATAACATCTACAAAATACAATACTCGCCAGCGGCGTGAAGTAGGTAAACCACTGCTAGTGGTGGACTACTTAGACAGCATATTACCCCAACTTACGTATCCAATGAATTTATGAGGATTCGGACATATCCGTTAATGTTCATCGGTACAGTATGTAACAAAAACTGATCCACAAAAAAAGAGCAATGTATTTATTATTACAGAGCGAATAATTAATAATTAATAAACAATAAAATCCCAAATCATCTGAAATGCCGAATATAAGCTATTCTCCATATGAGGTGATTTGGGATTACATTGTTTATATATATATATATATATATATATATATATATATATATATATATAATAAAAAGTTTCAAATTAAAAATGATAATGTTTTATTTTATGAAAGTATCGTCCTCAATTTTCAAGGGAGTGGATATCGGTGTAAAGGAAACAGTCCAGGACAACCACGAGTTTTGGAAAAAAAGTGGCGTGAATTCGTGCAACGTTTGAGGGGAGTCCACGAAAGTTCACAAATCGAGCTAGCCATGAGCTTGCGATCTCTCAATCCACTCTCTGGCGTGTGCTAAGAACACGTCTACATTTGAAACCTTACAGACTACGCCTCGTTCAGGCACTTACTGTTACAGTGGAACACACCTATTCTAAGTAGGAGTAGTAAGAGTAACGAGGGAGTCAGTGAGTCGATGTCGGTCGACCGGCTGACCGGTTGAACTATCTGCCTTCGGGCGGGGAGGAACCCGAACGAGGCTACGCCGAATGGCAGAGTCTCGTTCGGGGAGGTAAACCGTCCCTGAACCCATTTATACGGGTTCAATGTGCCTATTTTTTTAATAGACCACGGGCTCGGATATCCCACATTAAATAACCGACCTTGTGTCACATGATGCCCCAGTAGGGGGGGGGTGACTGAATATCGTCAGTCAGTCGCTCGCTTTTTCGACAGGCTGATCGGTTGAACTCTCTGCCTTCGGGCGGGGAGGAAACCGAACGAGGCTACGCCGAATGGCAGAGTCTCGTTCGGGGAGGTAAACCGTCCCTGAACCTGTTTATACTCGTTCAATGAGCCTATTTTTGGGGCCGAGCCCACGGGCTCGGAGATCCCACGTTAAACCGGCCTTGTGCCACATGATGCCCTCCTGGTGGGTGGGGGTGACTAAATATCGTCAGTGAGTCGATGTTGGACGACAGTTTAATGCAAAAGCATCAGCGTCCACAATCATATTACTCTGCGTAAAGCTTATTATATCAAGTTCCTAACGTTTTGTACGTCGAACCTGTTTTAGGACTGATGCAGTACAAATACAAGCCTCCACTGCAAAATCATTCTACAACACTTACCAAGATCCTCAGACTTCACTGTGTGTGATTTTTTTTCTTGTGGGGATACGTAAAAGATCGTGTTTATGTTCCAACGCTACCCACTAACGTCGATGACTTATGATCAGTTATTTCTTCGCTTACCTGTCTACGTGCTTTTAACCAAGTCAACATGAGTGTTTACACGAACGTCTTACAGATTTTTACACTCTTAAAACGATTGGAAATAAAGGCGAACGATCATTTTTGTCGATGAAGAATATCTAGAAAAGATTATACTTTCTTAAAGCTAAAAAGAATAGAAGCGACTGATAAAAGATTTCTAGAGCGGCTTTGACGAATATATCAGCTTATTGGAAAGGACTTAAAATTTCTTAAGCCTTTGTTGACATTCTTTTTGTTTCATGGTGGACGGTAGAGAAAATTTCAATGGAAAACAAATAAAAAAGGGTAGTTTATATATATGTATATCCTCTTCAATTTTCAAGGTAATTCTTTCCCTCCAATGAATATATTTCCTCTTCTATTTTCAGAGTAATTCTTTCTCTCTCTCATACATACGTATATATATATATCTATATATCTATCCATGTATATATATATATATATATATATATATATATATATATATATATATATATATATATATAATAATTTTTATTAAGCAATTTTATAAACTAAAAAAAATTATATATATTTAAACAATCTATATGAAAAAATTATAATAAATAATTATTGTTCTACTATTGGCATTGAGACCTCTTAAATTAATGCTGTGAACGTTAGAATTTATATATTATTTTCGTTCTCATTACATTTGGACACACACACACACACGCAGACACACAAACACACACACATACACACACACAACACACACACACACACACACACACATATATATATATATATATATATATATCCTCTTCTATTTTCCTTTGTCTTTTCTCCAATGAATGTATTTCCTCTTCTATTTTCATATATAAATGATATCTATCTATCTATCTATCTATCTATATATATATATATATATATATATATATATATATATATATATAAATGATTCATATAAATTGGCTAAATAAAGTACATAAGATATAACATACGAAAACAAAGTGTATTTAAAATTTTTATTCTGCTGCACATAAAAGCGTCATCAGAGTTAACTGGAAAAATATAAAGAAGACTCGTTACCATGGCAATTTATACAGGGGTTGGACAAAATAATTGGAACACTTGTTAAATTCAAAGAAAATGTATTTAATATGGAGTTGGGCCTCATTTAGCCTTACAGAGAGCTTTAATACGTGTAGGAATGGAATCATACAGCTTCCTGACTTCATCCAGAGGAATTTTCAGTCATTCTTCCATTAAAACCTTCTCCAGCTTTTTACGACACGACGGTGGAGGATAGCGGCTCCTAACCTGTTGCTCCAAAATGCACCACAAATATTCAATAATATTGATATCTTGAGATTGGAGAGGCCACTCCATGTGTTCTAGCTCACTTTTATGCTCTTCATACCAATTCTTAAACACCTAAGTGGTATGTATTGGAACATTATCGTCTTGGAAGATGCAGTCACCAACAGGGAATAAAGTCTTGTCCATTGGATGAACATGATCTCCCAAAATGTTCAGGTAATCTTTGCTGTTGATTCTACCATGCAGGGCAACTACTGGACTGAGACATTTCCCTGATATGGCGGCCCAAACTATCACTGATACACCTCCATGCTTCATTGTAGGAAGAAGGCAGTCAGGGTTGTAAGCTTCTTTGGGCTGCCTCCAAACATACACTCGCTCTAAAGTTAGGAAAAGAGAAAAACTGGACTTGTTTGAGAATATGACTTGCTTCCATTGGTCTGCAGACCAGGCATTGTCATCTCTGCATCACTTCAACCTCTTTTGAATGTTGCGAGTGGAGAGAAGAGGTTTCCTCACAGCGGCTCTTCCATGATATGCAGCCTTATGGAGCTCACGGTGAACAGTTTTAGTAGAAACTGAACTATTCAGATGGTTATTCAACTCAGCAGACACTTTGGCTGCATTTGTCCGATGATTTTTTGCTACATTGCGTTTCAATGCACGTCAGTCCTTGTCAGTAAGTTTGCAAGTCCAGCCCGAATTGCTACGGTTGCTAGAGGTCTTGCTCTGTTTCTCGAACTGCATCAGTGTTCTTGATATGGTAGCTCTTGAAAAACCAAACAGTTCAGCAACCTTAGTGATCGAGGCTCCTGCCATGTGAGCTCCAACAATTTGCTCTTTTTCGAACTCTGAGAGGCCACGCATTTAGCTTAAATTTCACTAAATTCTAAAAATAAATAAAACAAAGACAGTAAATTAGATAAATAAACATATTTATTATAGATATAACCTGCAATTACGAAGTTTTAGATAATGTTCTTAATATAATAGGTCTTTGAAATATAGGAGTGGATTTTGCAACTGTTCCAATTATTTTGTCCAACCCCTGTATGTATATCCTGCTCTATTTTTAATGCAATTTTCTTATATATACAACATACATTGTCCTTTTACGGATATATTTTTAGCTATATCTGCAATTTTACATGTACCTATTTACTAAAATTGACTAAATTACGCAAATTGAAAATAACACTGACATAGCCGTTTTAAGAGACATATTTACCAAGATTACACAACAAATATCTTTAAATACTAAAGAGTAAATTTATTCAACAAAATCGCCGTTGGCTTCAACCATAGTTTCAAGACGACATTGGAATCTCCTGCAATTCTTCTGGACAGCCTCTTTGATTAAGTTGGTTAATGCTACCATAATCCTTGCCTTCAGTTCATCTTTGGTGCTAAAAGGAGTTTTGTTGGTCTCTCGCTCAACTGCACCCGGCACAATAACCAAAGGGTTGCATTTAGGTAGCCAGATGTAAGAGGTAATGTGGTCATAGAAATTTTCTGACATGCATGTCTAGGTTCTCCTGCTTG